AATTTTTTTTCATCAATTTTTTTTTTTTATTAGGAAGACTTTTGTCACTTCTAGTCCATACTTTTTCTAAATAGTTTTCAGTGCCAGGTAAAATATGTCAGGTTTTTGTTCTTGTGTGTCATGTACAGCACCTGCTCTCGTTTTGGTGTCATTTTTATCTTATTGTGTCTTATAACGTTGTTCGTTATTCTTGGCTCTTAGCTCTTCATGGGAGCCTTTATTTTTTAATTGCATTTTCTACTGCTAACATGTATAGGGAATACCTGAATTAGGTTATAAAGCCTCTTTGCTGTTGTTGTTTGTCTTTTTTGTCATAAGGAGAAGGAATGTGGACTTTTCTTCTGAGAATATTTTAGGCAGCCTGTTATAGTAGAAATGGAATGGGGTTTAGAATTTGATTGAACTGAATTTGAGTTGTGATTCCATTACAAAGCAGCCGATGTCCTTAGAAAAGTGATTACAATTCTCTAGGACTCCATTTACTATTCTGTTAGATAAGGATAATAATACTGACCTTACCAGATCATTGGAAAGCTTAAAAATAGCCTATATAAGGTACAGCTTCTGCCACATAGTACGTGTTCGATTATTATTGGCATTGTAATTATCATTTTATTTTAATTATTATTAGTTGGGCCATCTCATATTTGAATTGGGAGCTAGTAAGTGATAATGGTACATTTAAAGGAGATACAGCAGAAAAGAAGCTATAGTGGCTGGCCTTAGCCTTAAGGTGTTTATGATCTTTTAGAGAAGGTGAAATATATACCAAAAACATGTAAGACATACAAACATTCATTATTTTTGAAGGTAATTATGTAACAGTGGTAAACACTATCAATATTACTTAACACATCACAGGACACCCTCCATGGTTTACTTACTGTGACGATTAGGGAACTGAGAGGTAAAGCTATAGGGGTAATATGTTCTCCGCATATGCTAAGCTGGTAAGAGAACTAATAGGGGTCCTTCGGACTCTGGAGGGTGTCCGTATAACCTCGGTGTTCTGTGCCTTCCATGAGAGAATGTAGAATAGTGTAAGATGTATGTGGTAAATCCACTGGGGCCTGGAAGAGGTGGCTCTGTCTTGACTGGGGTGATAGTGAGAGTCCTCTTGGAAGAGGAATGTTTGAGGCAGATCACGTGGTGACCCAGCTTTCATCAGGCAAGGGTGAAGAAGGGACTGGCAGGAATAAAGGCAAGGCATGGGTGTAGAAGTTTTCTGGAGCATTCAGTTTAGCAGTGTGCTTGTGGGGATTAACGGAGAAGCTGCTGGGATATAGGTTTGTGTCAGATAAGAGGGACCTTGGGTTTTTCTCCCTGGCAGTGGGAGACTTTAAAGGATTCAAGTCAGAGCTCTGGACTGATAAGCCTCACTTAATGCAATGGGGCAACACTTGAAGAAAGGCTTACTTTACAGAATGGTACGGGACATTTTGGAAGTGAAGAGAGGGTAGCGAGACTCCAGTTGGGAAGCTAGTGCTAGAATCTAGAGAAGACTGACTGAGAGTAGTGACAGAAAGCATGGACAGGAAAGGACATGTGTGGGTGACATTGATGAGGTCAGGACGGCAGTAGACAGTGATGAGAGGGCATGCAGAGACAGCAGGTCCCAGCCTTGGTTGTGAGGGGGTAGAGGCTCCAATAAGAAAGATGGTCTCTGGGCACCTGGGTGGCTCCATTGGTTAAGCATCTGACTCTTGATTTTGGCTCAGGTCATGATCTCACAGATCATGGGTTCAAGCCCTGTGTCGAGCTCCACACTAACAGTGTGGAGCCTGCTTGGGATTCTCTCTCCTTCTCTCTCTGCCCTCTTCCTCTCTTCCCCCACACCTCAAAAAAAGTAAATAAACTTAAAAAAAAAAATAGATGGTCTCAGTAGTTTCAAAAGAAAAGGGAAGTATCTCCATAAGATCCAGTGGAACCTTTTGAAAGGGACCTCAATGCCAAGGGCTCCTAGACACAGCCTCGGGTGGGCCTTCACTCTAGTCTGTAACATGGCTTGAATTATTTCCATTGCTATACTGTGAGTGCTAACATAACACTTCTGGTGCTCATGAAGGGGGCACCGGGGAGGGAATGCATGTTCGTACATGCTGTCAGAGCTGAATCTCTTCCATAAATTCTCGGGAATCTCACAATTCCTATCTAGCAAGTGTTCTGTGTGAGTCCTTTGTTTCCCAGGATGGCTGTCAAAGGGAGCATGTGACTGTGTTTGAGGGTCACTGACTAATATATGAAAGGGAAATCCCACAGGGAAGCTCCATTTTTCTTCAGGTATTGCCCCATTGCATTAAGGTTTCTGTTCTAAGTGAAAGAAAATGTATGCCATTCCTCAAAGGGGCGGGTGAGAGAGAACTCAGTTCAGAAATGTTGCTGTTGCCATGTCAGAGCTTTGAGTAATGTTCACTTCTCCCCCCCGCCCCCCTCCATGTCTTGGTCAGTGTTTGTCAGGTTCAACTCCAGCCATGGTTTCCCAGTGGAGGTCGATTCTGACACCAGCATCTTCCAGCTCAAGGAGGTGGTTGCTAAGCGACAGGGGGTTCCAGCTGACCAGTTGCGTGTGATTTTCGCCGGGAAGGAGCTTAGGGATGACTTGACTGTGCAGGTGAGTTTCCCTTGCTGGTTGTTTCTGGGATGCAGCCAGCCCCATGGCTAATGCCGCTTTCTCTGCCAAGCTGACATTCATGCCTGAGCTCTAATAGAATAAATAGTGCCTGGGGATTCCTTGAACTTTACTCCACACCGCTTCATTAATTCTGACCTTCTTAATTATGCATTAAAACAGCAAGCAGGAAGGATTGAAAGAACGACAGTGAGTGAGCGAGCGAGAGAGAGAACACACAGCCTGGGCTTAGCGAATAAATGTTTACTGACTACGGGAGCAGGAAGGCACAATTTCTGTGTCTGTTCAATTTCTACCTTACTTATTCCATTTGAATCTTAATGAAGAAGGATTCGAATAAATTGTTCCCAATCAGGCTGCTCAGTCAGTGCGCTGCAAGGGATTCGTAACCCAAGTGTGACCCCTGGAGGATAGTCACAAGTCTGCGGCTGTGGCTCCCCGAGGAGGCTTGGGGCTCAGGGCCCCCATTCGCAACGGGGTTCCCCGGGCCCATCAAAATCTGTTTCCATGCTGATGGTGCAGGAAGACAGAAGCATGGCAAAAGTCCACCTTCGTGTTTAATTTCTCTAAGCGTCCGTAAAATGTTCCCGAGAATAGGCCGCTGACAGCCAGTGAGCAGCGGGTGTCCTCTCCTGGAGCCACACTGCTCCTAGTACTCTTAAAGCCTCCTATCCTTTCACCTGGGTGTTTCATCCACCAGGGCGATTTCTGTAGGAGGAAGGGGAGAAGTGGTTAAAGCGCGTGATGAACAGTGCCCTCATCTAGAAGTGGGTTGGGGAAGCCAGCAAATAGCGTTCAACACGGGATTGAAATCATT